AGCTTTGTGCCTTTCCTGGAACTCACTCTGTAGACCAGGCTGGCCTCGAACTCACAGAGATCCACCTGGCTCTGCCTCCCGAGTGCTGGGATTAAAGACATGTGCCACCACCCAGCTATAATTTTTTTGTTTTTATTATTCATTTTATTTTTATTTATTAATTAATTATTTGTTTGTTTGTTTATTTTAATGCCAAATGCTGTTTATTGAAGGAGGGAAGAGGTCTTAAATACAGGCTTACAGCACAATGGGAGAAACCCGTATTTTGTTGGTTGGTGGTTTCTCCTTCCAAATAGATTTTAACTCCTCGAGGCTGAGCACAGTGTGCCGAACCCCAGATCCCGGGATAGAGCCTGGTGCACACTATGAGCTCCTTGGAACTTACTTGTACCACTGACAAAATAAGAAACCAGAGTAACAGCAGCAGGTGCTTCAGGTCTGCCAGGCAGTGTGGGAAGTGGAGACTGTTCCTTATCTAAACCTTATCACCCTCTTATAACGCGAGCGTGGTCTTTATTCCCATTTCACAGACAAAGCTCGGGTCAAGGGAGGTTAAGAAACCAGGCTAGAGTGTCATGGGCATGAACAGAGGCAAAGGCACCTGGGGTGGGGGGGCTCGGCTGTGGAGGCTCAGTGGGAGGTTTTCGGGAGTGTGACCAGGGCCCGTGGGAGTGCCAGGTCCTTAGCAGGCATGGCAGGAGCCTTTTCCCCAGACTCTTCACCAGGTCTCTTGAGTGCCACAGTTTACCCTCCAGATAAAGCACAGTTCTTGGGGTTGGGGATTTAGCTTAGTGGTAGAGCGCTTGCCTAGCAAGCACAAGGCCCTGGGTTCGGTCCTCAGCTCTGGAAAATAAAAAATAAATAATTTAAAAAAGCACAGTTCTCAGGACAAGACAATATAACGCCAGGAGTAGGAGTCTCGGGGCCGGTGACCTCCTGGGGTGGAGGGAAGGGCAGGAAAAGGGGGTAAGGGTGCTGATCGCGGGGGTCAGTGGCCTCGGCCACACCTAACAGGCACAAGCTGACTCAAACGACTTCCACTGGAACACGCCTCAGGTCATTCATCTGTGGCTGCTGAGAAGCCTTGAGCTTAAACTACACACAGCCTGAACTTTAGACTTCCCTGGAGGAAATATCCTCCAGACGGGGTGGGGAGGTAGGAAGGAGCAGGGGGACCTGAGGCCAGGCTGGACAGTGGTAGGCTCCAGGAGAGATGACCATTTCTCACTGGGCACAGGTGGAGGGAGGCAACTTGATGGGTATTCCTGTGCTACCCAATGTCTTTTATTTCTCTTTTTTTAATTTTTTTCTTTTTTTTTATTTTAATTTTATTTTATTTTTTGGTTTTTTGAGACAGGGTTTCTCTTCATAGCTTTGCACCTTTCCTGGAACTCACTTGGTAGCCCAGGCTGGCCTCGAACTCACAGAGATCCGCCTGGCTCTGCCTCCCGAGTGCTGGGATTAAAGGCGTTTATTTTATTTTTTAATTAAGAATTTTTTTATTTATTTTACATACTAAAGATCCCCCCTTCCCTCCTCCTGCCCCTCCAGCCTCCCCCTCCCAACTCACTCCCCATTTCTCCTACAAGAAGGTAAGGCCTCCCATGGGAGGTACATTTAGTAGAGGCAGGTCCAAGCTCCTCCCCCTGCCTCAAGTCTGTGCAAGGTATCCCATCATAGGTAGTGGGCTCCAAAAGGCCTGCTCATGCACCAGGGATGGATTCTGATCCTACTGCCAGGGGACCCCTTAAGCAGATCAAGCTACACAACTGTCTCACTTATGCTGAGGGCTGCTGTGGGACGGTCTGTATGTCAAATTGCTCTGATTGGTCAATAAATAAAACACTGATTGGCCAGTGGCCAGGCAGGAAGTAGGCAGGACAAGGAGAGAGGAGAATTCTGGGAAGCGGAAGGCTGAGGCGGAGAGACACTACAGCCGCCGCCATGACCAGCAGCATGTGAAGACGCCGGTAAGCCACCAGCCACGTGGCAAGGTATAGGTTTATGGAAATGGATTAATTTAAGATAAAAGAACAGTTAGCAAGAAGCCTGCCACAGCCATACAGTTTGTAAGCAATATAAGTCTCTGTGTTTACTTGGTTGGGTCTGAGCGGCTGTGGGACTGGCGGGTGACAAAGATTTGTCCTGACTGTGGGCAAAGCAGGAAAACTCTAGCAACAGAGGGCCTAGTCCAGTCCCATGCAGGCTCCACAGCTGCTGATCTAAATTCCAGTTCCCACTAGTTTGGTTTGGTTGTCTCTGTAGATTTCCACATCATGATCTTGACCCCCCTTGTTCATAGGATCCCTCTTCTCTCTCTTCGACTGGACTCCTGGAGCTCAGCCTGGTGTTCAGCTGCGGCTGTCCGCATCTGCTTCCATCAGTAACTGGAGAAAGACTCTAGGCTGACTTCAACACCCCACTCTCACCACTGGACAGATCTGCCAGACTGAAACGTAACAGAAATAAGGGACCTAGCAGATGTTATGACTCAAATGGACTTAATAGATACCTACAGAACATTCCACCCTAGCCAAAAAGAGCACCCATGGAACCTTCTTTAAAATCGACATACTCCGGGCTGGAGAGATGGCTCAGAGGTTAAGAGCACCAACTGCTCTTCCAGAGGTCCTGAGTTCAATTCCCAGCACCCACATGGTGGCTCACAACCATCTGTAATGAAATCTGGCACCCTCTCCTGTATACATAATAAATAAATAAATAAATAAATAAATAAATAAATAAATAAATAAATAAATAAATAAATAAATAAAAAATCGACATACTCCGTCACAAAGCAAATCTCAACAGATACAAAAAAGTTGGCATCACCTCTTGTATCTTATCAAACCACCGTGACTTAAACAAAAATTACAGAAAGCCTACAATGGCATGGAAACTGAACAACGCTACCTAAAGTCTCTTAAGTGGCCGTTTCTTTACAGCGTGCCCATGAGATCAGATCAGGGTGCTAGCTCTGTTCTTCAAGGCCAGTCCCCCTCAGCTAGAGAGGCCCAGTTGGGCCAGTCAGGTTCTTCTCCTGGGCGTCCTGGCCTGACAGCTAGTTACTGTCAACCATACTTTTAGAACTAATAAGAATTCATCTGCCTTTGTTTATTTTTCAGTAGTTTAAATTAGCATATATTAATTATATAAAGTAATGATTTCATTGTGTTATTTCATTTTTAGCTTGGAGGCCATCCTAGGCTACAGAATAAAATTCTATCTCTACATTAATAAACAAACAAAATGTTAACAACGACAACAACAACAAAAACTTACACATACAACTATGTCATGCGGTATTTCCTTTTTTGGGGTGGTCTGTTTAGCAGAATGCTATCAAATTAGTCAGGGTCTATGCGTCATGTAGCGTGCAGAGCTTTCTTCTCTGGTGAGGCTGAATGAAGTTTCCTCCTCTGTTTCGTTCGCCCACTTGTCCATTGATGGACACTGAGTTTTAACTGCCGTGAGCATTATTGTTCCGAGTACAGTCACACAGAGGGAGAGGTTGTTGTTAATAACCGGGTAATCTTTGGCTATCTGTAGAGCCAGGCCTCACCTGGCTCCCCCAGGTTCCTGAGCACTATTGAGGCCCAGAGCCCATTCTTAGGGAAGAGGTCCCATGTACTTTACAAAGGAGCTTATATTACGCTTATTTCAGACCCTTCCTCCCTAGACCTGTTGCAGGATATTTGATCACATCTCGAACCC